TCTCTGGGTGAGGAACGGCGCGGACGGGCTCCGCGTGACCCCCTGGAGGAAGCCGTCTTCTGTCCTTCAGCGGCTACCTGCTTCCCGCAAGTGCTCGTTGTCCACCCCCTGCCCTGCTCTCTGCAGTCCTGCGGGGCAGCCCTAGCAGCTCCATTACGCGGGCGGGGGGCTGGAGGCCCGGGCCCTGCGGGACGCCCCCTCCCTGAAGCCACCTGCCGCAGGATGCGCCGACCTGGACGGGACCAGGGGCTCGGTAGTTCCTCCTGCCAGGGGACAGACTGAGGTGGGGAAGGGGGCTTCCCTCCCCTGATGGTCCCACCGCCTGGGCAGGTAGAACCAAGGTGACATGTCTCAGCTTCCTAGTCCCAAAGTTTCCTGCTCCGCTGAGAATCTGCAGTTCAGGAGAAAAAGTAAGACTCATACGCTTCAAATCAGGGAGAGGGCAGTAGGTCTCTTTCTTTCTCTAAAACGTTTTAAAAGTTAATTTGAATTGCATAAGGAATAGCTGAATACCTTTGATTTAAAACAACTACCCCGTTGGGGACAAGCCCTTTAACCACCCTTCCCACAATTCTGGACCTCCCCTGCTGATCCGTTTGGGGGCAACCTTCCAGATGTTTTTCTAGAGTACGCTTTTCATTTTGGACCAGTGTTATCGTTACAGAAAAGTCGCAAAGGCAGTACAAAGGGTTCCCAAATGCCCCTCACCCAGTTTCTGCTCTTTTCATTATAATATACATTTGTCAAAACCAAAATGCAACTCTGGTCTGTTCCGACTAACCGAACTGCAGGCTTTATTTGAATTTCATCAGTTTTTCCATTAATGTCTTCTTTCTATTCTAGGATCCAACCCAGTGTGTCATCTCTCTTCAGTCTCCACTTCTTCTGTTTTTACAATTACTCTTACACACACGGACATGAGCCTGTAAATAATACAGGGCAGGGGACGTGCTTGTGTGCCTGTGTGTGTGTGTTTAAATCAGTGTCTGAAATTTTCGGGAAACTTTTTATTTTTAGACAATATGTTAGTTGAATTTCAATCAGTAAGTTCATGATATTTTTCTTATACAGCCAGGCAGCTTTTCAGGTGAAATTAAAAACCATGTATTCAATCATTTGCCT